TGAGGTATAAAATGTTTAGTTTGGGCTATTGCAGCTCATCGAGGCCCAGACGTAATACACAAATACGCACAGCAAAAATTTGAACACATCTCTAGGTCAGTTGTGACTGAATTTTATCATTAGTTCTTGCATTGAGTTTTTGTGTCCAGTCTATTTCCTAGCTGAGCTGCTGTTTGAACCGCGACTAATGTCCAGAAATGATCTTGCAGATACTCTGATAAAACTGAAGCATGGAATGGATAGGAGGAATGAACTATCACAGAAGTCTTCCTGGCATTTAGGGAGACACTGTGGTATGAAATCAGCACTGTTTCTTACCAGCTCAGTGTTTTCAGAGCAGCCAGTCTTGGATTTTTCTTCAAGTGTTAAAGTTCATTTTTCTATGACAAAGCTTTGGTTTTAGTTGTTCGGGTTTTTGAGTACTTTCCTTAAATTTTTAATGCAAAATGCTCCTTGTATAGCATTGTTTTGCATTTCTAGATACTGATTACTCAGATTCAAAGAACAGTGTTATGGTAGGATCCTGTGTTGGTAATAGTATGCAGTAGTACATGGTTTAGGAGATGAGTTGATGGATTTTTAAAAGGCTGGTGTTTGCTTTATTCAGTTTCAGATACAAACTTTGGTCAGTATCTCACTGTATATTTGTTTTCAGCAGTCATTTAAACTTGCAAGGAAATCAACGCAGTCTCCTAACTAAATGTACTGTCCTGTCCTTCCCTCATCTATTACAATAAATTTAGTTGTTGTATGGTTGGTCTCACAGATGAATATATCAATAATTACTGATAAGCTAATTGCAGCATTGTAGACCTGTTGTGGTGGTTTTTTTTTCTTTCCTCCCTCTGCATAGGACTTTATTTTTTGGGGGGAGGAAAAAATTTGCATTTTAAAACAATTTGTTTTATCTTTGTCTTTGAAGCAGGGACAGTGCTAGCTAATCCTATCATTGTAGATAAATATTTTCAGTAATTTGTTTGTTGAGTGGAGGAGTCTATCAATGTGAGCACTAGCAGCACAACTTGAATATTTTGGTCACTTTCTTGGCTACAGTATAAAAACTGAACCAATGATTTAATTAAATTTATCTCAATGGTTAGTACCTCAAATTCAAGTTCATATAATAAAACATTATAAATGATAAATGATCTCTTAAGTTTTGGTGCAACTTTACAATGTATTTAAATAGTTAAGGCTGGATAAAAAATCATGTCATTGGTTAAAAAAGAGCCAAGAATCTGTGCTAGAAGTAGCTAAAATCACTGATGGTTCTCCAAGTTACTTTCAAGAGAAAAATTCCAGGAAACAGTCCCTGAGGAACCTTGTCCCTCTTACTTGGCTTAGCCAGCAGCTTCAGCCTCTGGACCTAACTAAAGACAATGAATAAATTACATAGAGGGTTGTTTTTTCTAAAATCTGCTTTCCAAATTGTGGAAGACTAGGCGTGTTGTGATTTATATGCTTTTCTCCAATTTGATTTTTTTTTAACACTAAAACAAAAATAACACCCAAAATACCAAAACAAAACAACAACTCTCCCCTCAACTACCAGCAACTCCACAAACCCCAAACATTGCCTTTTTAAAAGTAAAGTCAGCTATCAAAGTGTGCTGCTGATATTCCTTGGACACTGATACTCTAAGCAAAAGGAAAGAAAGCTTGTTTAAAAATAGCTCCTTGTGAAAGTACCTACCTTGGATTTATGGTATAAGGACTTGCCTTGGGTTTTTGTTTATTATCTCTCTAAATCTTTACAAGAACTTTTGAAATCTACACTATGAGGGCAGCATTTCCTTTCTGACTTGTAATGTGAAACTATTAAATGTACATTTGAGCTCCAGAGAGTGTTTACAGACTTCATGTAAACTTCCCGATGATACTTTGGGAAGGAAAGTCTTCCATTCTTTTGTCTTCTCTTTTGTTTCACCTGATTCCTGACTATCACTGTGTGTAAACCATATTTAATTACATCTATTGCAATCTTCAGGATTCTTTGAAGAATTATGGTTGTCAAATCAAGTATTCAGAAATTAATGAATTGCAAAATGAATAGAACAGAATCTTGAATGACATAGTTTAGCATTGTTCTCTGCACCCTGTTTTCCTGACTGCATTCCAGTGTTGCTCTGCAGTCTCTCGTGTTTACTCAGTGATGTTTGGGTTGTGGATGCTTTCCAGCTCTTTGACCCCCAGACTACAATCTGGGGAGAAGAGTAGGTCTCTCAGTTTTTTGGAAGGGGCTTCTTCTCAGCAGAGTGGGGACACTTTGCCACACTGTTGTCACAAATCTGAAACATTCAAAGAAAATGAAAACCAGCCCCCCAACACAAGTTAGTATGAAACAGCAGTATTGTTCTTGCAGTAGGTTGGCACTTCACAGATCTGTCCTTCCTTCTGAATCGTGTGTGTAGGTTTAAAGGGGAACTGGGTGTTGATGGGTGGGTAATTTCCTGCTAGACCAGCAGCTGGGTACCTAGAATGCTGTCACAGCTGTTTCCACCCCAACACTGGTGCTTGATGTGTGAGAATAAAGTGAAAGGTGCAAAGGGCTAGAGCCATGCTCTGAAATTGCAATCAGGGAATTGTCTAAGAATTATCAGGGTAAATTTGTGTCACTTTCACTTAAAATGCAGTGAACATTGTATGAGCAATGAACAATGTTCAATGAACTATGAACTGTAACTATGTTATGCTTTCTCTTCATTTAGCTTGAGAAAGTGTAAATGGCTCTTAAATAATGTATTTCTATTTCAAAAGTTATATAATTCACATATTTCTTTGGCGTTACTTCAGGGTTCAGAGGGTCAGACTGTGTCCATTGGGTGCTGACCTTAGTGAGAACACAAGAGGCTCCAGGAGTTCTTCAATGCTCAGCGGGCAGCGTGTTTGTTGAGTTTGAGTTCCTCCAGCAGCAAGTTCTACACTGCTGTCTGAATGCCCTGATGAATGTGGGGTGAGGTTATGGGCTGTTTGAGCGGCTCACTGATGGTACAGACAGCACATCTGCACTCAAGGCCTGCAGCTGGTTCCAGAGTCAGCCAGGGGAGCAGAGTCCCTTGTGCCATGTCTCCTGCTGCATAAAAGGGTCACTTGGGAAGTGCTTCTAAGTCTTGAGAAAGTGTTATTGTGCAGCCTGCAAATTCCACAGTGTTTTAAGCAGCAGGTTTGATAGTGGTGGCAGTTCTTAATTCTGTGGGGTATACTTCGTAGCTGTTACCGAGCCCGGGCAAGAACAGCAAGGTAGGCAAGTTTCACATGTCGGGCTTATTTTTCTCCCAATGCAAATGGACAAGAACAGTAAAAAAACTGCAGGTAGAAAGGTATGTCTGAGAGCTAGGCTTGGTGTGCTCACAGTGGGAAGCAGGGCAAGGATTGAAAAATAAAGAACACTAAAAAAACAGGAAACCTCCAGCAAGATAGGGAACTCTACTAGTCAGCATGGCTCACAAAGTTGTTAGACAAAGGTCATGGGAATAAATAACTGAAGCTAGCATTCTTTGATCTAGGCTAAACTTTTATTTTAAAAGCCCCACTTATTACAGTGTCTCTCTCTGTTGTAAATACCTGTTAGTTTTTTGAAGTTCCATAATGAAGCTTTAATATGTAGAATGTATTTATGCTACTGCTTTATAGCTTGTTGTGATGATCAGATGGCTGTTCCAGATTGATGGCTGTGTCTTCCTGGGGTCATTTCACAAGCAGTCAGTGAGAAAACAAAACTTTGCTGTTTTTGCTTAATGAATTTCTCAAGCCTTTTCATTGTTTTAGTGATTTTATTGTAATAAACTCTTAGCTGAGTGGAACAGCAATTATAGCATGATTGCTTAGACCTTGTGGAAGATTATAGACCACAATTATCATGTCTGTCTTAGAGAATTGAACAGTGATTTACTCATCAGGTTAAAATTTGATCTGGCAAGTCGGAAGGAAAGTCTTCTGTGTGAAACATTTTTTCTTTTCACGTTTTATATGCAAATCCTCTTGATGCTCAAGGAATTATGTATGGTCTTGCCTCTACTGTTGATAGTCTGCCAGATTGTAGCAGTCAAGCCCTCCAAATAATTATGTCGGGGAAAAAAATAGTTTTTCAAAACTTGTGCATTTCATTTTTCTTCAGCCTTTGTGTTTTAATGTTACTTCCAAATTAAACTCCCATTTTCCCCCATCCTTTAAATTTTTACTCTTTTTGTGAGGTCTTTCATGGAAGAACTACTATTCTCACCCTTCTCATGGCCGAGATTTACAATTAATCTGCAGTTAGCAACTCTGAAAACAAGAAGGAACTGAAATTGATTTTATTTTAGTTACATAAATGAATTTCATGATGATCTTATGTTGTACACCAAACTGGAATTTTATTCTTCCCACTGCTTAGTGTCACATCTTTTAAGAAGGTGTAACTACATGCCGATATGGAAAGCTGATATCCATGAGGCAGGATTTTGCCAATCTGCTGTGACAGGAGTGCAGCCCTGCAGGGCAGGCATTTGAGATGCATTTGGGAGAGTGCAGTTTTAGCAGCAGGGCAGGACTTGCCCAGTTTTCAGTGCAGCCCAGAGGGTGTGGCTGTGTCTGATGGGCTGGCATTTGCTTGGACCCAAGATTGCTTGACTCTCTCCATCCTGCTGGCCAGTGTACATGTGTGGTGCAGTTTGTGCTACCCAAAGACACAAGCTGCTGCTTTTCCAGTTAACACTTCGAAAAATTCTGCTGTCCATCCTATCCTATACCATTTTGCCACTGTCAGTAAAATGACCCAGGGAACACAAAGTAACTGGCACTGGGTTGGGAGCACACTTCTAGTTAAAATATTGAGAAAAGCTGAAATTCCTGGTGGCTGCAGACAAGCTGGATTGAATGTGTCCTGTTTGTTCTGGCTATGCTAACCCTTTGACAGCACCGAGTTCAAATCAAAAACTGCTTTCTCTCCCTCCCTGGTTGCCTGGCAACCTCCCTCCTCTTATTAGCATATGATTTCTATTCCTTTTTTTATTTCATCAGTACAGTGTTACACACTCTGCTCCCTGCCCTGTGCTGCCGCCTTTGAGAAGAGCAGGATTTGTGCCTTTATATGAGACTTCGGCAAGTATGTGATTTGGCAAAGAAATCAAACATTTGGGATTAGGAACCTTTGGCCATAAATGCCTTATCAGAAGCTCAGAGGGTGGTGTTTGTGTGGGCATGTTTTTCAAAGTCTTTTCAGTTTCATTTGCTGTCATTTTTATACTAAGGGCAGAATTCTTGCAAATCAGCACAGCATAAATCTCTGGCATCTCTACATGTGCAGAACCTCAGTTTGTGAAACCTGCCAACGGAGATGGGCCACACAGATCTTGGGGGGTATTTTGTCCTCTTGGTCTTCATGCAGTTCCATAATGCAGTATGCAATGCCATAATTCAAAATATAAATTTTTAAAAAAATCCAGGTCAAATTGTGATTGGGGAAGAAGGCAGCTAAAGAAGTAAGTGGGAGAATTGAACTCAATTCTCCAGTTTTCTTCTCATAATAATGCTTTTTTGAAATTAGAACATTTTGCCTTTCAGTTGGCCAGGTGTATTCTTTTATGAAATAACAGGTGATTCAGACTAGGTCTATAGTTTAAATTGCTTTTTTTCTGTTCATAGACTCTTACAACTGTAATAAAGACCCCATTTTTTTTTTTTGCTATTGCATAGGGCAAAGAATGTAAGATTCAAGTAGGAGTAGAAAAAACAACACTAGCAAGAGAAATTAGAAGATGCAGTGAGGAGGAAATGACAAAGCATGTAAGTTTGAGGAGTGTTTATATCAAGCTATGTAAAGGAGTTTTTTCTTAATGTTATCCAAATCATAAATGACAAGTGAAATAATCTACTTTTTCAACATCCTTGTTCTGAAGGAGGGTCAGGTGTCTCAGGAAGTATTTAAGGGAGTTGCTAGGGCATGTAGGAAAAAAATGAGGGAGGCCAAAGCTCAGTTCGTACTTAATTTGGCAACTTTTATAAAGGATAGTAAAAAATATTTTAAAAAAATGGATTAATGGCAAAAGAAAAGGTGAGGCCAACCTTTGTTCTCTACTGTTTGTGGGAGGAAACTTAGTAATTGCAGATAAGAAGGCGGCGGAAGTGCTTAACACCTTCCTTGCTGGCTTGTCCTCAGGACAGCTGTTCCCCTGGGCTGGTAGATGGTGTCAGGGAGCAGAATGGTCCCCCTGTTATCCAGGAGGAGGCAGTCAGAGAACTGCTGAGCTGCTTGGATGTTCATAAATCTATGGGACCAGATGGGATCCATTCCAGGGTGAAGAGGGAGCTGGCAGGTGAGCTTGCAAAGCCACTCTCCATCATTTACCAACAGTCCTGGCTCCCTGGTGAGGTTCCAAATGACTGGAAGCTGGCCAATGTGACACCCATCCACAAAAAGGGTAGGAAGGAGCGTCCTGGTAATTAAAGGCCAGTCAGCCTGACCTCAGTGCCCAGTAAGGTGATAGAACAGTTTACAGTGAGTGTCATCACCCAGCACTTACAGGATGGCCAGGGTATCAGACCCAGCATAGGTTCAGGAGAGGTAGGTTGTGTTTTACCTACCTGATCTCCTTTTATGGCCAGGAGACCTCTCTGGTGGATGCAGGGAAGGCTGTGGATGTTGTCTATTTGGACTTCAGCAAGACCTTTGACTCTGTTTCCCACAGCAGACCCCTGGAAAAGCTGGCAGCCCATGGCTTGGACAGGAGCACTTTGTGCTGGGTTCAGAACTGGCTGCATGGCCAGAGGGTGGTGGTGAATGGTGCTGCATCCAGCTGGCAGCCAGTCACCAGTGGTGTTCCTCAGGGGTCTGTGGTGGGGCCAGTTCTGTTCAATATCTTTATTGATTGCATGGATGAGAGGATTGAATCTTTCATTACTAAGTTTGTGGATGACACTAAGCTGGCAAGATGTGTTGAGCATGTGGGAAATATAGGTGGGTTTTAGGAAAAAGTTTTTTATAGAAAGAGTGATGAAGTACTGTAATGGTCTGCCCAGGGAGGTGGTGGAGTCACCATCCCTGGATGTGTTTAAAAAAAGATGGGAAGTGGCACTTGGTGCCATGGTTTAGTTGAGGTGTTAGGGCATGGGACTCAATGATCTTGAAGGTCTCTTCCAACCTAGTGATTCTGTGATTCTTATGCTATGGCCTGAGTTTGGCAATTTCACTTATTTCCTCCCTCAAAGTACTTAGACCTTCCTGTGAAACATCTGGGTTCTTACTGTAGTCATAGCTACCTTCCTAAACCAGTGCGGAATTTTAAGTGGTTTTAGGTCTTGCAGAGACATTTGAATTAAGAGTAAGCCCACCTATAAGAGTATTTTGTTTTTAATAATGCTTCCAGTATTTAAAGATATCATTTCAGAAAGCATTCTTAGTTTGATAAATATTAATGTATGTGATGTTGGTATTTAATTTGTAGATTTAAAGTGATAAACACAATGAAGTCCTTGAAATGCCAAACCTTTCATCTCTGCTCAAACCAAGGTTCAATTTTATTTTCAGTATGACATTTGCTGCCTGAAGTCTTACAAGTGACTTGACCTTAAAATTACGTTTATTTTAGTTCATTGAAATGGTTGGCCTTTCCAGTTCAACTTGACACCAGCAGTGCAAATGGGAGAAGGCAGACATGCTAGCCTGTGACTCTATTTGAAAGCAAATTAAAAAGGTATCTAGGTGATGAATCTAAATATTTCCATTTAGATGGGATGCTAGTCATCAGTTAAAGGCAATCACAGTGCATTCTGACATTTTAATTTCAGGTTCAAAAACAATTATATATGTAATTAAGGAGCAAAGTGTCCAGGCCGCCAACCTGTCTGATTTACGTGTCGTCTTGGTGTGTGTGGGGTTTTTTTTATAGAGGTACCTGTGTATACCACTTTGAGACTGTAGAAGGTGGAAAAATGGAAGGTTTGATTTTAGTTAATGTGTTCTTCCTAAGGACACTCTTCTTTCAAGTATTACTCACACATTCAATGTTAGGTTTGCATTTATCAAAGAGATTGGACTCCCCTCCATTTGCAAAGAGGTTGTGATACCTAGTTTATTTATTAGTATATTGCTGCATGTTTGCCTTGGTTTTTGGTGTGATTTTGTTGACTGTGCTCTGAGAGGCCTTATTTAAATTGGAATGTCCATTGGAATGAACTTTCCTGGCTGGGTTTTTCTCAGTCAGCAAAACATTTGGCCAATGTCGAGAGAATGAAGCATGCTGCTGTGCATGTCTCTTAAGGCAGGGATGTTTTGTTGTGCTGTGCACTGTGTGCAGGGCTCTCTGCCCAGCCTTGAGAGATGTCCTCGTGCTGCCCAGTTGCATCTCTGTCAGTCAATTAAGGAATGAGAATATTGTGCTCTGAAGGGAGCCCTTTGCACTCTTGCGATGAAAGGACAGAAAGGGCGAGTTTCTGAGAGAGGAAAAAAATGATAATAAATATGTGGAGGATCTACAGGGAAGAAGAAATAAAATATGCACTGAAAGCAGGCCATTGCTGAGTTTAATAATCACAGCATTTTCCTGTCCAACCGTTGCACTGTTAGCATCTATACTAGCATCTTGCTCATTATGAAATGCTTGGGCTTTCACTGATTGTGAAGGGCATTGTATGAAACCCAGCTCTGTTCTGCTCTTAACAATACGCTGACTACTCTTCCATCCAGGCATGTCTGGCATCCATGCAAAACTCCAGAATTCATTTGTGAAAGTAGGTAGAAGTGTTAGAATAAGTTATTAAAAATGTGGACCCATAATGGGAGCAAAGAAGATTGGAAGCATAAAGGGAGGTTTTACACCTGGAAGTTATTATAGTTATTTAGATTGAGCAAGAATAATAACCAATTGTTTTCTAAGATGTATGACACATTTATGAAAAACCTTGAAGGATAAATGGATCTTTTTAGTATGCTACTTCCACAAAGGACTCTATGAATAAAATAATAGTGAGAGAACTCTCAGTGGATGCTGAATACTGCTAATTGATGAAATTATTACTTATTACACTGCAACTGAACTCTGCTTAGAAACACTATTTTCAGTATGATTTTTTGAAAATGACAGCTGAAATGTAAGAGGCTTTGTATTGAAAGTGAATAGTGATAATTTCTTGATATCTTTGAAATGAAAGATATTTCAATGACAGTTAAAACTGAAAAAAGTATTTTTTCTTAAGTGCACAGATCATGGACTATGACTATGAAAATAAAATGAACTTTTCCAAAATCAATAAGTAGACTTAATGTGGATTTATGAGGCATTTTAAAAATAACTTCAAGTATTCTATTTATAATAAAGCAGTCAATTATTTGTGTCAGCAGTTTTCATATTATGTCACATTTTAAGGTTAAAAATTGGGTTTGTGAGATAGAGTATAGCCATCATATTAAGGCAAACTCTTAATTCTAAATTAAATCAGTATTGAAGAATACTGCTGATTTACTGCTCAGGGCAAAAATGGGAATGAGTACCAGATTTTCCTTGGTTTTCTGTTGATGAAATTAGAGCCTGCTGTCCTTCTTGATGTGTCTAGTTAGGTCTGTATACTAACTCTTATGGATTGTTATCAGTAATTGGTGTGAGCATCTGCGCTCAAAGGATCACGTGTAGTGTAACATTTTGGAATATGATACGAGTGAATACGAGATCTAATTTTAGCCTTAGCAAATCTGTTCATCAGTACTAAGATGAACCTCTCTGTTAATTTCAACAGACTGCAGCATCTGAGGGACAAAGTAGGCTTGTGCAGATTCATGCACACGCTCGTGTGGGGATGTGTGTGTATGCTACAGGACACAAGATAGGAGATTAAAAGTGGTTCCCAGACTTAACTGTTTCTGTTTTAAAGTTGTGTTTGTTATTGCCCTTTTTTCAGTTCCAATTGAAAATGCAAAATTCGAAAGATTTTAGTAAGCATGAACATAGCTTTTCAAAACAGATGGAAGTGCGAAAGTGACAAAAGAGTTGGGAGAAAAAAAAGAGAAGATAACCACAACAGAAGCTGTTCTAGAATGCTGGTGATGAAATGTAGAAATAAAATGAATACAGAACAGAAAAAAAATGAAAATATTATCTCTTCTGAAAGTAT